GATAGTACTAGAAAATTATCTCCTTTGGCCGAAACATTGATTATTACATTTAGCATTCTTGCCGGTTTGGCTGGATTTGCTGTTGGTACTTGGTTGGTCCTTATTGCTAGAAGGAAACATCAAGAAAGATTTATAGAATTAAAAGATGAACCTGAAGTTCAAATGTCTAATGTCGATGACTCCACAAAAACTTCTGTATAATTCCCTAAGTTACCTGTTATGATTGTATAAGAAAAAAAAAAAAAAGTCTTTTATTCAATTTGTTATGATCCTGTCTATTAATTTTTGTAATACTGTAACATTATATGTATGTATTTGTAGTTTTTCTTTTTTTTTATATTGATTCTTTCATGAGATTCGTAATGACATTTCATGATTTTAAAGGCATCTAATAAAGTGTCTATGTGTATATGTATTTGTTAATATCTAATACATATTACACGCATTGTTTAGAATCTGTAATCATAGTGATGTTCATAGTGGTGATTATTAAAGGCTTTTTTATTTTTTATTCTAGAAACTCAAATGTTTTTAGATTACTAAACCGTAAAATTTCATTTTCTTAATCATAGTGATGATATTAAAGACTTCTTTATTCTAAAAACTCTAATGTTTTTAGATTATATATTAAAGCGTGAAATTTGATTTTCCATTTACAAATAAATCAAATTTTGTCATGACTTTTATACAAACTAATAGAATACTACCGATACTCTTCATGAATTTCGTAAAGGGGGCTTTTTTTTTTCTAATTTGAATGCTTACTTTTCATATGTCTATTTAAATCATACTGACGTTTGAACATGAATTCACATCCCTCAACCACACATGATATATTTCTACCCGAATTACAGTATCCGAAACCTGTAAGATGCTCAATTTCGGTTACATTACGATTGATCTTGTCATCTTTATTAAGCTTTCGAACTTTACGCGAACGTGGACGCTGTCAACATTGTCATCAAATGTAATTACATTAAATTATATTATATTAAATTGTTTAGTATTTAAAACATTATTTTTACAATTTTTTTCAAGACTAACCTCATGAATATTCTTAATATGATTATCCATAACTTTTTTGTATGCAAAAGACATCCCACATCCTGGAACATAGCAGTCAAATTGACGATCTTTTTGGTGTACTGCTCGAATATGTGCATAAACCGCCTTTTTCTAATGTTGAAAAATTGTTCACGGATTTTATTGTTCACATTGAAAATTATAATAATATATATATATATTTTTTTTTAATAACATACACTATAATAATGTTTTTCGCAATCTTTCCAATCACATGGAAATAAAATACGATCGGGATTATGTGTTATCATATGTCTCCTAAGTGCTTTCATATCTTTCACTGTTTTGTTACATAATTCACAAATAGCTTCATGTTCATTTCGTATATGAGTATGAAGTTCGTTAATCTTTGGAAATTCTTGTTCACATCCTTGAAATGCACATCTCCATCTATTCTGATCTAAATTTAATTTTCATGGATTTTTTATTTAAATACTTTTAACATTTTGTGTATGTGTATAGGATAATATAATAATTATAAAGATATGGTTATAATAAAATTTACCAGAATGAACTCGCTTATGCATTCGTAGTTTGGTTGAAGATGAAAAACTTTTTTCACATCCTTCATCCTCACAAGGATAAGGCTTCTTTTTAGTATGTATGGTCATATGCTTTCTTAATAAATAATCCTGTGTAAATGTTGATCCACATTCTTCTACATGGCACTAATTTTTTTTTTTTTAATTAATAGCTATCTCGATTATCATATTCGTGCATATTTGGAATTACTATTAAAAATGATAAAATCTTTGATAGTGAATAATTTTACCACCAAAACAGTCGTCTCATCGAGACAGTCATTATTCAATGTCAAAGATCAAAATATGCGTGGATATGTGATTATATACTTACTTTATATATTCTCTCTGTCTCGTGTATTTCTTTTCTATGCCTCTTTAGATGATGTTTTATTGAGAAGCTTGATTCACAGCCTTCTGTTTCACATTTGAATGGCTTTGGATCTTGTCCATGCACAACTGTGTGAATTTGTAAATGATCTAATCGTTTATAACTTTTTTCACAATTAGGAACCGGACATTTAAAAGGCCGCTATAATTTATTTGATATATAAAAATTAATAACCTACTGGTCTTTTTCATGAATAAAAATACATGTATTTGGTTACCAATTCTGTATGCGATATTTGATGTCTCTCCAACTTTGACCGAACTTTAAATGATTTGTTACATCCTTCATACGTGCATTTCCAAGGCTGTTCCGTGTCTCTAATAACTTCTCCATTAACAACTAAAACTTTGCCAGCAATATTCGACAATGAATCACCATTCTCCATATGTTCTCATGTCTTTCCAATGTCAGAGATATTAAAAAATTTTATTGCATGCATCTATTTTTGCATCGTTTGATAATCTTATCATGATAAAAAATTTTCTATCACGTGATAAATCATTATAATTGATCTGGATTGCCAAATTTCTTTCCTTCTAAAGTCTCTCATGTCTACACCAAATCATATAGTTCAACTTAATCGTTTAGACGATCTATGTAAAAATTGGTCAATAATCCATAGTCAATCTTGTAATTTATTCTCTTCCTTAGTTAATATTCTAACACAACGTCAAGCAACATCAAATGTATTACATTCTTCACAATCAAAAGTATCTAGAATTATTACGAATACCACAATCGTTAGTACAAATATTTTAGATCAAATATTTCAACCTCAAACTCTTACTCGTGTTATTTACAAACAATCTCGAGAGATTGAAGAAATTCTTTCAAAAATTCATAAAATTCTTGAAGAATTTGAAACGATTGTAAAATCTATGAGAAAAATCTTACTACAAATTGATAAAATAGTTTCTGGTCCTTTAACTAATTTAAATTCAAAAAATTTTAAAACTTCTTCAACTTCATCTAATTTAACTTCTTCAAAACAATCTTTTAACAACAAAAAAAACAAAAATTCAAAATCTAAACAATCCTCAACAAAAGTTATTCATAATTTTCATAATTTATATTTTGATCAACAAAATATAAATGATGTAGCTGATATATCAATTTCTTTATCTAATCTTTATATAACTCGTATTGTTGATATGTATGAAAAAGAATTGATGTATAAAAGAAATTTAGTTTTGGGTGGTGCTTTGGTAATTGATCATTCAGAATATGAAAATAATGAAACTAATAATTTAGGCGGAATTGCGATTAAACCAGGAATTGATGGTGTAAAATTGATTGCTGAAAGGTGGGCAGCTCAACCTTATTTGGAATTTGAAATTGAAGAAGAAATGGTGGATAGAATAAACATTTGGAAAAAGGTTAAAGAGTTTGAGAAATTAAATAAATAATTATAATTATAGTTATAATTATAAGTATGTTATTTGGTAAACTTTGTAGATAAGAATTAAGCGATTTGTGCTTACTTTCAATGGTGCCGGTTGGTCGAATATAGCAAATATAATAAAAAAAAATTCAATAAGTAAATTTAAAAAAAAAATTCAAAAAAAAAAAATCAAAAAACAAGTGATTATAAGATGTTACAGCACATTCGATCGGTGATTTACGTAAATACTAGAACTTTTAAAATATGTTACGCATCATGTTTTACCAATTGAAAAATGACTCGGGTTAAATTTTGACGTACTAAATTGATATAAACAATTTTTTTTGTAATAATTTCTAAAAACCTTGGTATACAATAAAAATTTTTATGAATGTCAAAATTAAGAATAAGTAGCTCATATTCTTTTTTGAATTTTAGTAAAAAGTAACGATGCAAATGATCCAACTGAAAATCTAAATTGTTTTACATATTTAGTATTTAGGCATAAACTTAATTGTAAAATGGCATATATTTTTTCTAACACACAAGTACACATTTATAATATTTAATATTACTGATGATTACTTTGGGTTGTATTAACGCGTGTACAGTATTACTTACAATAATAAATAGTTTTATAGCTCTAATTAATCATTATAGTTTATATATTTATAATTTAAAGAAAAATATATATGTTACTATATACTTTTAAAATATATTATACATTTACAAAGATTATTGTAAAATATTGTAATTCTATTAATGTCTCTATTAGTAATAGTTAAAAAATAATAAATACTATTCAATGCTTTACTATGGTCAGTCTATAAAATAAATCGATTATTTTATAGCACTTTTTTAGTAAATCATTGAATAAAACCGTTACCGTATGCATCAACTGCTGTATTTTATGTTCTCTTCTGATCGTAGGGGTTACCAACCAATCATCATCGCCCATAAAATACAGCAGTTATTGCATACTTCACATGCAATAACTATATATTATAAGGTTATTCCTATTAAAAAAAGGTTTGTTATCTAATTTAAAAATATATATAAACTTTATTAGCAAAATTATCTAGTATAGAATTAAAAATATCTTGTATACTTTAAGTTTACATGTTTAAATAATTAAGTATTGGTTTTTAGAAGTTTATATTAAAAAAATATATTTAAAAGTTTTAAATTTTAAATCTATATTTAATGTTTTAAATTTTTAATTTTTTATATTTTAAATTCTGGTCATTTAAAATATATTAAAATATTAAAAAATACTATATTGTTTAGAAATAATATCCTAAAGTATACAAACATAATTTTTTCTAACAATCTCTTGGTCAACAACAATAAAACCAACTACAGAAAAACAATATAAAAAATAACTAAGTAGACCAGTATTAGAAAAATTACTGTATTCAATTATTTTTAAAGTTAATTAGACATATATTCAAAATTAATTAAATATATAAATATAATGTAGTTTTTTGTTCAATTTTCTAATACTGAAGTAGATACTATTCTTAGTTTTATTATGAGTAGTTTTTGTTGATAAAGTCTAAATTAAATATGATATACTGAGAAGTAGATGTGTTTTGATAGTTTTTTTAATCAAACTTGCTTTTCTTGAGTGAATTTTTTAAGATATTTAGCATCCAAACCAGAAGGTTTATTTTGAAAACAAGTAGTAAATAAATTCTTGTCAAGTATAGAAAAAGCTTAAAAATTAAAAAATATAACTATAAAATTTACAACAAACTCATATTCTTATTGGTTTACTACTTATTTTTGAGATAATTTTGTAAAAAAATAAGCATTTTAGCATATTATTTTTAAAGATTAATATTATATACACCAAACAAGTTAGTGTTGTTTAATTTTTAAATTAGATTAAATATAACTAGAATAGTTTGTCTAGTCATATATTTACTAGCAAATAGTAGCAGTAAATAGCAGTAGCAACAAATATATGTATATATATCTTAAATACAAAATATTTATACAAATAATATTTTAAAATCTTGTTTTGACCTCTTTATAATAATCAAGTTAATGAAATTTTTTTCTTCTGTTAGGTTTTTACTTTTATATACTAAGTAAATAAATATAGAGTAAAAATTAGTTTATTTTAATAGTATATAATTTTTATAAGCCTAATATAGGCTTATAATTGTAATTATTAGAATAGACTAAATTTTTTTTATTACTCTATTTTTTTTTTTTTTTACTTGTATATTTATCTAAATCTTTGTATTTTATTTTTGTACTAATTTCTTTTATATTTTTATAATTTGTATTTTGATAAGTAGATAGTTACTAGTTAATAAATAAAAAATTTTTAGTAAGTTAAAAATTCTAAGAAAGGTCAAAAGCTATTAAAACAAGTTGTATTTAACAAATCAACAAGTTTCTGCTTGGTATATTATAGATAAGTTTTTAATTTAGATAAATTCATATTAGACTCTAATAAAAATTCTTTAAATTTGTTAATTAGTTTAAATCAAAATAAAATTACTAAATTATAAAAAAATTATTCTGAAATATAATTTAAATTTTATTTTTAATAAACTAAATTTAGTTTAAATTAAATTTAATTCAAACTAAAATTTTATATTATTTCAAATATTATTTTAAAATAGAAAATTTCTAAATTTGTACATATATTTGTATATGTATAATAAAATAAACAAACAAATTTGTATTAAAAAAATTAAATTTCTTTAATTTTAGAGTTAGGGCAAGACTTGAAATTTAGTAAGAATATAATTATATACAAAATTTAGCAAAGAATTTTTTTAATTAGAATACCAAGTGGTTTCATATATAAAATTTTAAGATATTAAGATTTTTTGATTTTTTTATTAAAAAGTTTGTTTTTGTTATACAAAAAAATAATTTACATATTACATTTGATCCTAAATTTTAATTGACTTTTCTAATAATTTTGTATAACAATGTGTATATACACTAGTGTACAAATAGCAATACTCTTTAAAATAATATAATAATGATAAGTATTAATACAAATTCTTAAATATATTATAATTTTAAATATAAAATATTATTAATATTTTATAGTATTATTATAAAAATATATATATATATTTTTTCACTTAGGCAGATTACACCAGTATTTTTTATTTAATCAAAACCAAATTCATGAAAATATCATAAATATTAAAACTAGAATCTGATATCCTGCGGTTGCCTTGTATAATCTAACCAATTATCTATAGATAACCTGGATATACCAGTAAAATATGATCAATTAAGATAATACTCTAACCAGAAGCTTGTCCAACCACTGTCCTACAATAGGATATCACCAATCTGATGATATCTTCTCATAAAGAAGTGAAAAAAAAAATTTTTTTATAAAAAAAAACACAAAAATATAGAGGAATATATAAAAAACAAATAAAAAAAATAAAAGAAAAAAGGAATTATGAAAAAACTAAACTAAATGTGGGATTTTTTATCTATACCAAATGGTTACAATTATAAGCCTGTGTTAAGCTCTTTAAAAATTATATACTACTATCTAAACTATTCTTTACACTAATTTATATATATAGCATGTCTAAATTTAAAACCTAAAAAAAAAACAAAAAAAAGAGAAAGCTTCTTCGATATTAGTACCGTAGAGAGATCAGAAATTTGCACCATTAGGCTTGAAGCATCATTTGCCCAGGTTGCTACATTCGAGGCATGTAATCTAGTTATCTATATTCCTGTATTCACATGTTTGTTGTGATAGGTAATAAATGTAAACAATACTGCTTGATTTGGTAAATAAACAATATGTCAATTTTTTGGAGAAAGTAAGCTAAATCGACCACTTTTTACAAAATTTTTTCTAAAAAAAAAGTGAAGACCAACAAGAGTATATAAGGTTCTTCTGTAAGTTTTATAGTCATATAGTTTTGTATCTTCAAGCCTATACTAATACAGCAAAAGCTATTCCACTATTTGTTTTTAGAATAAATCTTCTAGTTTAGATGCCGAAT